CCGGAGTTTTTTTTGTGATGTTGAGAAAAGGAAAAGTCTTGGCCAAGTCATTGGGATAATTTCCATTTTCTTTTTCAAAATGATGAGTTAAAGTTGTTACATGATGTACCAGCTCTCTAAACGATCATCTAATACTAGGAAATGCCTTGATTTAACATCTCACCTAAGAGACAATACTGCAAATTGTGCAGCACTTCTTCACAATCACACTGGAGTGTCAGCCTTGATTATCTTGGAGTGGGCTTGAACATATCATGTTCTGACTCAGAGCTGACAATGCTACCAACTTTACATTTTGCTGAAGTTTCCGCTAAAGCCCTAAAGGCACCAAATTTCCCCAAGTCTATCTGGGACACTTTCATAGAATGATCATTTCTTTAACCAAGAAATGTCAAATGAGATCAAGTAATCTGCAATGAGCCTCTACCAGACAGAAAATGATCTCAGATCAGACCACTAAATTTACATTAGAATCTGGATAGGAAGTAGTAACCATTTTTATAGCGTTAGATCTGGGAGAATAAAAGAATTACGCCACAAGATACCACATTTTTAACACATAATAAACTTTACAATGTTAGAACTGTAATATAATCTATAATACCTGTGCTATTTATTTCTAAAACTTAGAATTAATGGAACAAATATGGGTAATATAGTTTAATCAAACATACCATGGTACACATTAAATCTAGCAAATGCAAGCAAAACAAATCCCACTGATTTCTCAGCAATTCTCCACAGAAATTAATGTGGATCATCAAATTTCACTCAACGTCAAAGGGATTACAATTCTTCATTTTGTCAATCTGGCCTTGAAACCTCCTCTCAAGATCTGCTGTGTCATGGACAGGTTCCACAACTATTTCAAAGTGAGTGGCACGGTGGCTCAGTGGTTAGCACTGCTGCTTCACAGCGCCAGGGACCCAGGTTTTATTCCACCCGTGGGCGACTGTCTGTGTGGAGTTTGCATGCTCTCCCCTTGCTTGTGTGGGTTTCTTCCAGGTGCTCTGGTTTCCTCCCACAGTCCAAAGATGTGCAGGCTAGGTGGATTGGCCATGCTAAATTGCCCATAGCGTTCAGGAATGTGTAGATTAGGTGGGTTATAGGGGGATGGGTCTGAGTGGGATGTATCAAGGGTCAGTGTGGACTTGTTGGGCCAAAGGGCCTGTTTCCACACTGTAAGGATTCTATTCTAATACCTCCCTCCACACCTGCTTCAATGCCTACTCCAGATCTGGTCAATCACTCTGCTTTCCTGAGTCTACACTCCCCTGGATGCCAGAAACTGCTCTCCAGTAATTACTCCAAGGCACAACTCCAGTTTTTGTTTCACTGACAGGTAACTTCACCAAGCTAGAACTGCCCCTGGCAGATTTCCTGATCTATAATCTTGCTAAACTGATGAAGACTCACCAGATTCAAAATGCTAACTGTGCTTTCTCCCCACAGATGTTGCTAGGCCTGCTGAGTCTCTCCAGCAATTTTTCTTTTAGTTTATAATTTTCCCACTCTTCTTCAGTTGCTCCGGATATGTGTGCATGACATCTTCCAGCCAGCTAGCATGTTACCCACTATACCATTAGCTTTTATTTTCTACAATAACCTTTGATGTTGAACCTTAACAAATGCCTCCTTGAAATCCAAGTAGAGTACTTCAAAAGGCTTCCAAGTACCCACAGCCCACCAACATCAAGTGAATTAGGCTATAGATTCCTGTTATTTGTCCCTTCCACAACTTCCTGAACACAGAGATTATATTTGCTATTTTTCAGTCTGATGGAACATTTCCTGAATCAAGGGAATTTTGCAAAATTGACTCCAACATATTTACTATCCAATTAGCCAACTCTTTTGTGGCTTTAGGATTAAGTCCATTCGAAACTTGTCAGTCTTCAGCTCCATCGGTTTGCTCAGTCTCACCTCCTTAGTGATTGTAATTTCAATAAGTTCCTCACTGTTCATCTGAGGAAAATGCAAAGTGGCTTCAAGAAAACTTGTCAGACTTAGTGAGTAGGCAAGGACCAGCAGATGGAATATAATGTGGAAAAATGCGAGGTTATTGACTTTGGTAGGAGGATCAGACGTGCAGAGAATTTCTTAAATGGAAAGAGATGAGGAAGTATAGATGTACAAAAAGTCACTGAAGACTAACATGTAGCAAGATGCAGCGAGCTACTAGGAAAGCTAATGGAATGTCAGCCTTTATTACAATAGGATTTGAGTACAGGAGTAGTGAAGTCTTGTTTCAATTGTAAAGAATCTTGATCAGACCACACTTGACTACTGTGTACAGTTTTGATCCTCCTACTGTAGGAAGGGGATTATTAGCATGCAGGGAGTTAAACAAAGGTTGACCAGCCTTAGTCTTAGGATAGCAGGACTGTCCTATGAAGAGAGATTCGGGAAAACGGTCCTGTGTTCTCTAAAGTTTTACAGAATGAGAGGTGATCCCACTGAAACCTACAAAATGCTTAAAGTGGTGGACAGACAAGATGCAGGTAAAATGTTTCCCCTGATGCGGGAGTCTAGAACAAGAGGACAATTTAAAAAATAAAGGTGAAGCCACTTAATGTTGAAGTGAGGAATCTTTTTTTTTAATCTCAGATGGCTGTAAGCCTTTGGAATTTTCTACCCCAGAGGGCTATGGAAGCTTTGTCTTTGAGTGTACTAAAGGTAACAGATTTCTAAACGCCAATGATGTAAAGGGATATGGGGAAAATGTAAGAAAAATGAATTGATGCCAAGATTGCACTGAATGTGAGAGCAGGCTAACAAGCTGAATGATCTACTCCTGCTCCAATGTCCCTATATTCTTACAGTATTCCCTTTATCCAGACCACATACTACTTAGAGTCAGAGTCATACAACTGCATAGCATGGAAACAGACCCTTCGGTCCAATTCATCTATGCCGATCAGATATCCTAAATAAATCTAGTTCCATTTACCAGCATTTGGCCCATATCCCTCTAAATCCTTCCTATTCATGTACCCATCCAGGCGCCTTTTAAACATGCAATTGTACCAGCCTCCACCACTTCCACTAGCAGCTCATTCCATACATGCACCACACTCAGTGTAAAAAAGTTGCCCCTCAGGTCCCTCTTAAATCTTCTCCTTCTCACCTTAAAGCTATGCCCTCCAGTTTTGGACTTCGCTATCCTGGGGAAAAGACCTTGTCTATTTACCTTATGTATGTCCCTCATGATTTTATAAACTTCCATAAGGTCACCCCTCAGCCCCCAACACTCCAGGGAAAATAGCCCCAGTCTATTCAGCCTCTCCCTGTAGCTCAAACCCTCCAACCCTGGCAACATCCTTGTAAATATTTTCTGAACCTTTTCAAGTTCCACAACATCCTTCCTATAGCAGCTTCCTCAAGAACTTCAATAAATTGGTTAAATTTCCCTTTTGCAAAACCATATCGACTCTGCTTGATTACTTCGAATTTGTCAATAAGCCTGACTACTGAATGTTAAATAATAGTTTCTGACATTTTTCCCTATGACAGATCTTAAGCCACTGGCCTGTAGTTTCCTGAATTCTGACTGTCTCTCTGCTTGAAAATTGGAGTCACATTAATTATTTTCCAATCTAACAGAACCTACTTTAAATCTAAGGAACTTTGGAAAATTAGAACTAACCCACCAAATATCTCACTAGCCACCTTTTTTTAAGGGGCCTATGATGAAGTATATCAGGATCTGGCGACTAGTCAAACTGTACATCAACAAACTGCTCAGTATCTGTTACTGGGTGATTCCAATTTTGTTGCTTTCCTGTCCCCTTTCCATTTCCTGATTTACAGCTGCATCTAGGATGTACCCTTTATGGGGAAGACTGATGTAAAATACCTGTTGAGATCACCTGCCATCTCTGTTTTCTAGTGGGGGTTGGTTGGCTCGACTGGCTGCTTTTTGATGCAGAGTGACATCGAAGTCCGGGGTTCAATTCCAACACCAGCTGAGGTTACCATAAAAGGTCCCACTTTCTCAATCCTGTCCCCTTGCCTGAGACATAATGACCCTCAGTGGCACTCTCTACTGGCAGAGCAGTCCTATGATCCAGTAGGAGTACAGCAACTTTTGCTTTACCTTTTATTTTCCATTACAAATTCCACAGCCTCACTTTGTGCAGGTCAAATGCTCATTTTGTTAAGTCTTCTTTTTCAAATATCAATAGAAACAGTTTCTATATTTCTAACTGGCTTTTATATTTTTACATTTTTTAATATTTCTAATTTGTTTTTATATTTCTAGTTATTGTCTCTCACTCTAACGTTTCCTTCCTTATTAATCCTATGGTGCTGCTCTTTTATATCTATCCAACCTTATGAGGTGCCACACATCTTTGCAAAAGTGTATGGCTTTTCTCTAAGTCTGATGCAATCTTTAATTTTTTTATTAGTTAACCATAAATGGTGGGGTCTCCTCTTAGCATTGTTCTCTCTCACTGGCCTATATGTATTCAAACGTATTCCGAATTAATCCTCTGTTCTTGGGCACAATCCTACCTCACATCTGGTTGTTCATCGCTGTCCTTGTTTGGAACCTGAACAGTATAATCCAATGTCACCATGTGAGGTTTGTTGTTTACATACAGCACAGAAGTATTTATATCCCTGGTGAGGTCACTCTGGAAGGCATAAATTGCAGATAGTTTACTCCTTGCTCATGATGTGGTGACTTAACAAATGTTCTTTTAATATGTAACTAAAACGAGAATCATGAAAGCCATTCTCTAACAAATACACTGTGTATATGTCTCTCACCTAACACAATATAAAAAGAGTGTACCAAATATGTTGAGCTGTGGGGGAAATGTTTGACCTTCCCCCCTGGCAGCTTGTTTGGAGCTAAGTACAGATTACTGTGTAGAAAATATCCTGAATCGTTATTTTCTGTCACCGGAACCACAGGGCTCATGCTGATACAGTAGAACATTGTTATTGTAGAGCTCAGGGAGTTTTGCTTTGCAACAAACACAGAGAATTCTAGAGAAACACAGCATCTATGGAGAGAGAGAAACAGGGCGAACATTTCGAGTCCTTCTTCTGTTCTGAAGAAGATCGCACCAGACTCCGAAGCAGTTTCGAATAGCATCATGGTCAGCACAGATGTGGTGGGCTGAAGGACCTGTTTCTGACTGTACGGTTCTATATTCTATGTTCAGACCTGCTGAGTTACTCCAACATTCTCTGTGCTTGCTTCAGATTTCCAGTATCCGCAGTATTTTGCCTATATTTGAGATTTCTTTTGCAACTGTTCTATATCTAACCAGGAAGTACATGGCTTTAGAGTGCACACTTGCAAATAACAATAACAATTTTAAACTAAAGGAGGACAATGTGCTGAGACAGATGAGCTATCATAGAATGATATAGAACTAAAGAAATCCATTTGACTCAACATGTTTGCATCATCTATTTGAAATTAGACCCAATTCTTGGCCCCATCTGAGAGCCTTGCAGATCTTCTTTTTCAAGAATATTCCAATTTCTGTCCAAATGCTAGAATTGATTCTAATTCAGATATGCTTTGAGGAAATACATTACAGATCAGAACAACCTGCTCCGTGGAAAAGAACTGTCTTCTCATTATGCCTTTAGTTCTTTGGTCAATTATATTTCAGGGCTCTATTGAGAGGGAGATTGTGTTGTGGAGGATTGGAGAAATCCCAAGGTGTTACATACTAAAAGTGAACTCAGGTAAGCACATCTAACATTTGCGTTAAAGCACCATTTGAAATTTTCAACCTAAGATAAAATTACTATCCAGATGAAGGAAAGATAAGTAATCTTCACCCAATCCAAGACAGATTTCAGAGGGGAGAGAAAAACGTGGTGAATGGATAAAATGTATGTCATGTACATGGATTTTCAAGAATGATTTAGATAAGATACAATAAAGGAGACCACTGGAGGAAACTAATGGGTATGGTTTTTGGAGGAAGAGTAGAAGTTTGGATCAAAAGCTGGTTGGAATGGTAGACATAAAGAATTATGAGTTAAAGCATGTTATCTTCAAATTGAGGATGAAATGGTTATCATATGGGAAGGATGGCAAAGCAATGAAATATGGAATAACTCAGGTTTACTCGATTAGCTTGGTAGGTGGATATAAAAAGAGAGGGTCGAAAATTGTGGCTACTGTTGTAAACACTGAGGAGATTCAAGGGTAATATGATAGAGATCAAAAATAGGAAGGTAAGGATTAGTTAAATCAAAACAGAATGTCTCTGGGAATTGGGCTGAATCTAGAACAGGAGAGTGTAGATATATTATGTAGCAACATCTTGGTACCTTAAAACATATGCAGAGCACTCTCAGACAGCTCCATTCCCACCGACATGAGTTACCTTGTAATAAATATTTTTGCCTTTTGGTGCTTCGCCAGTTTCTAAGATGGCATCATAGTTCCTGTGGTCAATGATTAAAATCCCACCTGGTTTCACCATGCTGGCAATATTTCTTAGGGCCAGCTTCTGGTCACTCTGGTCACCTAAAGGAACAAAATTATAAACAGTTCCAACTGGCCGTTCATGGATTAGAAAGGAAATGATTTCACCCAAATGGAAAGTTAGTCCAATAATAAAAAAAATTCTGAAACAAGAAGCCAACCCACATGTTTCCCAGTTTAAACAGTGGGGGAAGAGTGTCACCAATCCAGTCTCACAAATTAGGATTAAAACTTTCACGCACAAGATTCTTAGGGGACTTGACACAGTAGATAATGCAAAGTTGTTTCCCCCTCATGGGAGAGTCTAGAACCAGAGGGCATAATCTCAGAGTAAGGGGTCACATATTTAAGGCAGAGATGAGGAGCAATTACTTCTCTCAGAGGGTAGTGATTCCATAGACAGCAGACGGGTATCAAGGCTGGGTGTTAAATATATTCAAGGCCGAGATAGGCACCTTTTTAATCACTGAGGGGATTAAGGGTGACAGGGAAAAGACAGGAAAGTGGAGTCGAGAATTATAAGATCATCCATGATCTCGTGGAATGGTGGCACAGGCTTTAATGGGCTGAATGGCCTACTTCTGCCCCTGCATCCTTATGGTCTCATCATCCAAGAAGCAGCGGACTCCGTTTTAAGCGTACCTATTTTCAGTCACAGCATTAGTACTTTAAGGGAATTGGAAAGGAATGCAGATTGGTAGGTTCAGTGTTTTCGCAGCACTATTAGCATGGCAGGAGGCCCGGGAGTATTTCCCCAAACTCAACAAGCTAACCTCGAAACCGCACTCTCCCTTGACATCTCTGATCACTCCATCACCAGGGAAAGGCCCAGTCTGACCCTCCATCAATCACTCTGATAGCAAATCACCAGCCCCCACCCCCCAGCCAAAATCTTGGTACAATCAGCCCCGATCCATCATTCAAAACACTACAATTATCAAAAGATAGCAAGAACTGCCGATGCTAGAGTCAGAGATAACACAGTGTGGAGCTGGATGAACACAGCAGGCCAGGCAGCATCAGAAGAGCAGGAAAGCTGACGTTTCAGGTCAGGACCCTTCTTCAGAAACGTCAGCTTTCCTGTTCCCCTGATGCTGCCTGACCTGCTGTGTTCCTCCAGCTCCACTCTGTGTTATCACAAGTATCAAAATGTTTCTGCGGGTCTCATATCAGGAACTCTGTCAAAATTTTGTCAGAGAAAAGTAAGAAGTCAGAAAATTTTTTGTTTTTACCTTTGAAGTCTGGTAAGTGCGCGAATGAATTTCCTAAACAAATGACAGCATCGAATCCATCACCTGGCTTCTGGATGTCATTGGGTAATGTCAACCAATTAGCTTCTTCGATCACTGTGAAGCAAAGCAAGGAAGTTTATGGCTCCTGTCAAAGACACTCAGCAGGTTACATGTTAAAAAATTCAGGTTGATGCAACTCAATCAATCTTTAAAAAGAGATTCAGAGTGGGACCATGCCACAAAATGAGGACATTTGGCCCGTCATGCCAATGCTGGCTTCCGTACAGCAATCCAGCCAGTCCTATTCTCACATACTACTCTGTTTCACTGCAAGTCTATTTCCCTCAAGTTCCAAAATGACATTCTTTTTAAGCCACTCATTGTCTGTGATATAACTCCACAGAGGCCGGCATCCTGTCACCAAGTCACCTTTTATTTACATGTGCACAGTACATGATGCTGGTCTGGCTTCCTTAGAGGCGGCTCTCAGAGCGAGCAGAACCTCCGAAATGTCTCTTTATATCTGTCAGCCAGGGCTCCCCAGATTGGGGCCGATGGCCTGGTCCAATCAGGGATCTCACACACTGTGAGATCCATCTGGCTGACCTTGTTAGGATCACGATGCATCTTCCCCTCTGAGCCTGGGGATGTAGGCCGGTTCTTATTTGTGTAGTATTTCTTTGGGGCATTTTTGCACTGGGTCTGATTCATCCTCAGATATGGGCAGTATGCACCAGACCGCAGCCCGTCTCGGAAGAAATTGATCCTCTTCTTCAGGCAGTAAAGGCTGCAACGTCTACCATGGTCTGCCTCAGATTCCTAGGTTTCTTTGACGTTAGATGGAAGGGGGAGAACCCATGGGTTCCTTTCCAGCTGTTCTGAGGGACTGGGTATATTTTGCTCCAGCCCTGTTTGCGAGGGAATAGCTTTCATGACGTCCACGTGGTTGTTCAGGACCGCCTCACCTGCCCAAACTTTGTATATCACGGGACATGACCTCGCGTTGACTTCACCTTGTACCCATGCAGGGCCATTTCTGTGGTTCCGGCACCAAAGCTTTTACCCAGAAGTAAACGGCCTCTCTCATGCAGAGGATTCTTGTATTGGTGCTCCTCATGTTGTTTCACCCTCAGCCCCTGCCCAAGTCCGGGAAAATCAGATTTAACCTAGCAAGGAGTCCTCTCCCCATTAGCAACTCTGCTGGAGCTATCTCTGTACTTGTATGAGGGGTGGTCCAATAATCAAAATTGGAACCGGGACAGTTTGCTATCGAGTGAAGCTGTAGGCTGTCTCTTTAAGCCTGCCTTCAAAGTTTGGACTTTCCGCCAGACCATTGGAAGATGGATGGTATGAATCTGCCTTGTACGCTGAATGCCATTCAACTTTAGCAAATACCTGAATTGCCTGCTGGCAAATGATGGCCCATCGTCTGTGACCAACACTTCCGGGAGCCGGTATATTGCAAAAGATGCTCGCAGCTTTCCTATCATCACCCCACGTTTAACAAATGAAATCTACGCACGTCCAACCACTTCGAGGGGGCATCCACAAGGATGAAGAACATTGATTCCAGGAAAGGGCCTGCACGGTCCACATGTAAACAAGTCCAGGCCATTCCCACAAAAGTGGGGTAGTTGCTGGCAATCATTTTGATCTTTGTTGGCACTTTCGGTACTCATAGCACCAACGCGGCTATGTCTGCATCCAGTCCTGGCCAGCAGGCATAACGTCTCACCAACATCTTCAATTTGGTCATCTCTGGGTGACCCTGGGTGAAGCTCACCCAATACCTGGCAGCGACCTTTGCTCGGGACATTCTCCATAATAATATGCCATCCTCTACTGTGATCTGTTCTCTCCAGGTCCACAAAGGTTTTCAGTTCTGGTTGTGATGGCCCTTTTGTTTCCCCCATCAACACCAGCTATTTCAGTTTTGAAAGGTCCGGGTCTTTCTGTGTCCACAGTCTGATTTGTCAGCAGTGACTGGAAGAGTGCCCAAAAAATTTAAAACCATTGAAGACTCTTCCAGTGACAGTACCACTGATGATGTATCTGCCAGCGAGAAGCAGCTCAAGGCATCCATATTTGTTACTTGGCCTCCCGGATGGCAATCCAACTTGTAATTTTACGCGCTTAGAATTAGAGCCCACCGCTGAATTTGTCCTGAAGCTATGGGCAGCACAGCCTTGACCTCTTTCAGTAGCCCTAGCAGGAGTTTGAGTCTGTTACTATTACAAATTTACATGCATAAAGGTATTAGTGGAACTTTCTCATACAAAATATGATCGCCAAACCTTCCTTCTCTATCTGGGCTTATTTGTGCACAGCTTCTGCCGAAGTCTGGGAAGCATATGCTGTTGGGCGTTCCTCTCCATTGGACCACCTGTGAGCTAATGCTACCCTGATAGCGTACAGAGAGGTATCGCAAGTCGGCACCAGCTCTCCCCTGGGATTACAATGTGCCACACCTTAGACGATGACAGCTGCTTATTCAGTTCCTAAAGGCTATGTCTTGGCTACAAGACCATTACAAAGGCTGACCTTTTGTGAATAGCAGGTGCAAAGGTGCCAGGCTGGAGGCCAGGTTACGTATGAACTTTCCGTAATAATTCACCGATCCAGGGAAAGAGCTGAGCTCCGGTACAGACATGGGAGTTGGGGCACCTTTGATTGCCCTCACTTTATCTTCCAATGGGTATAACCCAGTCTTGTCAACTCTACAGCCCAAGTAGGTCATTTAGGGTGCCTGGAACACACCGTTTTATCCCTCCTAAGGCATACGCCCACCTTGGAGGCACGCCTAAGGATTATGTACAAGTTCTTTGAGTGCTATTTATTAGTTTTCCCTGTTATTAGCATATTGTCGAGTTAAATGGCGATCTGGGGTAGACCTTGTGAAATGTTCTCCATTGTTCAATGAGAAATGGCACAGCCTAATTATACCCCAAATGGCAACCTCGTATATTTGTACAAACCCTTATGGTTATTAATACTAGCATACTTCTGGGAATCGCCATCTAATCGCAATTGCAGGTACACATGGCTCATGTCCAACTTCGTGAAGGACAGACCCCCTGCCAGCTTTGCGTACAAGTCCTCCATGTGAGGGATTGGGTATTTATCCAGCTGTGATAATTAGTTTACCGTTTGTCTAAACTCCCCACAAAGGCGGACCGACCCATCAGGCTTCACAGTTGGTACAACTGGTGATGCCCATTCCGTAAACTGGACTGGTTTGAGGATGCCTTCGTTTCCAGGTTTCTGATTTCTGCCTCCCCGTTTGCCTGTAAAGCAAATGGCACTGGGCGGGCCTTGCAGAATCATGGAATTGCTTCCACGCGTGTGGAATGAATTTCCTGAGGATGTGAGCACAATCACAACGTTTAAAAGACACTTGGACACGTACGCGAATAGGAAAGGTTTGGAGCGATGTGGGCCAGGAGCAGGCAGGTGGGTCTCGTTTAGTTTGGGATTATGTTCGGTATTGACTCGTTGGACTGAAGGGTCTGTTTCCATGCTGTATGACTCTATGCAAGTTGGCCTTAGCTTCACTGATAGAACCTAGACCTTCCTGAAAAACTTCCAGGTATTTAGTTAGGACTTCACTTAGGCAGCCATTTTCTAATCGAAAAATGTTAAGACAATTCAGGTGAATCTTTCTGAACCAATTTTGCCTTTTCAAGCTTGGGCCCGAGCCTTTTACTATAATCAGTGGTAACTCCATTAGCTGCTTCTCATACGAGACCACAACCAAAACTGCACTCTTAATCTGTAAAAGTTCCCCAGCATAGCGTCTCAGTCTAGCCGAGGTCTTACGCAAACTTAAGGGTTGGAGTCCAGAGTGAAGGCGGTTAAAGACTGGTTCTGCAATCACTGATACAGCTAAAACTGGCATCAACCTCCAGTAATAACCGGGTGACCATTTAACCAAACGCTTATTTCATTAGGATCTGATTTGGATATTGCTAAGCAATTTAACTGTTCCAAGCCGGATATTGGCGCACTTTCCATAGAACATAGAACATAGAACAGTACAGCACAGTACAGACTCTTCGGCCCACGATGTTGTGCCGAACTTTTACCCTAATCCTAAGGTCTATCTAACCTCCACCCCTCCACCCCTTTCCATGGTGTGCACTTTCCTGGATATTGGCCTGTGAGGTCTCTTACTCAATTCAGGCCGAGTGGAATTCTTTTGCTGTCTGGAGTTCATACACCAGCAGCAACGACAATGGCTTACTAGCCCGGATCCTGAAGAAAATGTTAACCATTTGGATGAGGTTTAGCTTTGTTTTGGGGTTTTTGCTGTGGGCTTACTTAGAGACCCTCTGTTCAGGAAATGTCCTGGGTGAAGCTATTCAATTACCTTCACTCAAGTGGTGTCCCATAAGCTCAGTCAGCCTGGTGAGGGTGTCCACTTCCATCAGCATACCCTTTAACTCATATGCTCCACTTGCTATATTTTCTAATGACAAAGCTAGTTGAGGTGCTTATTTGAAGTCCAATTGGGCTTCAGCTAGTAGGTGCTTTTGCATGGTTACATCATTAATCCCACTCTCTTTGCCACTGAAATAACTCCATAGCGGCC